ATTATAACCTCTTCATAGTAATAAAATTAATTAGTCTCACTATTACGACTATTAAAACATGAATTGAAATTCTAATACTGTACTGCTAAAACATGAATTATAAAATAAGAAATTTTTGTAACTACACCTCTATTAAATTATAACCTCTTTAAAGTAATAAAATTAATTAGTCTCACCATTACGATTATTAAAACATAAATTGAAATTCTAATACTGTACTGCTAAAACATGAATTATAAAATAAGAAATTTTTGTAACTACACCTCTATTAAATTATAACTTCTTTAAAGTAATAAAATTAATTAGTCTCACAATTACGACTATTAAAACATGAATAGAAATTCTAATATTGTATATAAATTATAAAATAAAAAATTTTTGTAACTACACCTCTATTAAATTATAACCTTTTTATAATAATAAAATTAATTAATCTCACTATTACGACTATAAAACGATTTTAGTGTATATATAAAATACGCCATAGTGAGTTTTCCCCAAACTTACCTTTCCAGATTTAATATTAATCAAATAATTCTTTTTTAATTTTCTTTTCACGTCAACAAACCCAGCTGCAGTCATTATTTCGATTGACCAAACAACTTACTCCGTCCATTTGGACGTATTATGTTAGAGTTTTAAAAATCTTTGACTGCGGGAGGAAATAATAAATACGTGAATTGTACGGAATCATCATTAAAAAATAAAAAATGAAATCACTTTCATTCTATATATGACGAGGAGAGGAGCAGTCAAATATCTTTTCACGCAGTAAATCAACAGTTGTTGACTAAAATAATTCAAAGAAAATTACACAATAAAATCTATTTTTTTTAACAAATTCGATAAAAGGAAATCAATTCATGGATGGACTTTTTATTTAAGGAAATAAAATAATTTGATTTATAATTTTACCTTAAATCGCTGGTAGTATTTTCAATCTATTCAGGATTTTATTTTATTTTTAAAAGAATCCAAACATTCCTCTTACAATAATGATCTGAAAAATATATAAAATACCTGATGATAGCCACGTGGCTTGCCTACTAATACCAAACGAAAAAACTGAAACTTCCAGGAAGGTGCCCCTACTCATGGCGTTACAAAATGAACTCCTATGGCTATTTATACAGTATCAATCTCACTCTAATTTCCGCACACAGATTGAAGATTACAACTTTCTCCTTCGTTATTACTGAATTTCTATTGATAGTGATAGCTATTCAAGTTTTGTTTCGAACAACAATGGCTTCACAGGAACAATGGCTCTTGGAGAATGGCAACCTCAAAGGGTTGAGCAAGGAGAATCGACATGGCAGAACTGCCCACAACATGTCGTCTTCTTCGTTGAGGAAGAAGTCTGATCTCACGCTTGTATCCAAAGTTCCTTGTAATTTCCTTAGACAATCGCTTGCTAATCTTCAAGAGGTCTTTTTGGGGACGAAACTTTCAGTTCTCTTTCCGGCTATACCATTAGCCATTATCGCTCACTGTTATGGCTTTGGAAGAGTGAGTGCATGCCTTATATATAAATTCACTGTTTAATTGCTTTTTAACGTAAAATAAAGAAAAAGACAGGAATTTTATGTCATTTATACGCCTGTTATGATAGGCCACGACGTTGGGATGAGCTGGGACATGAAGAACGTGGCTTGCATGCTCTGTTTTACGTGGGGTAGTTCAGTTATTAGCTTGCTTGCATGCTCTGTTTTACGTGGGGTGTAGTTCAGTTATTAGCTTGTAGTTTCCTTTTTATTTCAGTTTTAGTGTAAGTGGCTTTGCTTATTTAAGCAGCCGAAACTTATCAGTGAAAGAAAAGTAATTATTTCTATGCAAATTGCGGTACACTTCTCACCTGAAGAGAAGACAAAGTATCTGATCATTTTATTCTCTGCATTTGGGACCTATCATTGGTATCAGAGCAGGTTATTTTGAGAACCAATAAAGAGCGTATTGAACAGTTAGAGGTTAGGCTCGGTGAAGTGCAAGATGGGCTACACCAGATGGAGCTCGGCATGGCGGATAGGCTGCGGCATTTGGAAGAAACTCTTAACCGTCTCTCTGATGTACTACTTGCAAACCAGGAGCCTCCAAACCATGGCAACCAACACCGTGAAGGCCACGATAGGGGACGGCTTGTTGTCTCCTCCAAGACAGCGAAACTTAAATTTTCGAGATTCTCCGGAGATGACCCGACGGAGTGGTTCAACCGTGTGAACCAATTTTTTGAATTCCAAAATACTCCCGAAACCCAGAAAGTTTCCTTAGCCTCTTACCATTTGGAAGGAGAGGCCAACCAATGGTGGCAGTGGATTCGTAAGACGTTCCAAGAAGAAGGACGCGCACTCTCATGGGCAGATTTTGAAGACGAGCTCTGGGCACGCTTTGGGCCGTCGGAGTGTGAGGATTTTGATGAAGCCCTTTCAAGGATACGTCAGGATGGGTCATTGCATGATTATCAGCAGGAATTCGAGCGCTTGGGCAATCGCGTACGAGGTTGGACGCAGAGAACTCTTGTGGGAACATTTATGGGTGGCTTAAAAACGGACATTTCGGATGGTATCCGAATGTTTAAGCCTCAGACATTAAAGGAGGCTATCAGCTTAGCGCGAATGAAAAATGATCAACTATCGAGACAAGGGATGTGTGTACATCCTCCACCACCAGTGAGAGTCCCATTAGCTCTTCCGCCAGCCCCACATGCAGCTCCTGTTCGGCGACTAACTTGGGATGAAATGCAGCAGAGGCGAGCTCAAGGTCTATGTTTTAATTGTAATGAGCATTTTACTACAGGTCACCAGTGTCAAGGGCCACGACTACTGATGTTGGAAAAACACGATGGCAGCGGCAACATAATTTGTGAAGATGTCACCGGAGAGCAACCAACTCAAGGGGGATGTGTCGTTCAAAAAAGGCAAGATGGTACTTTTGAAGCTGCACCCATACTAGCAGCAAACAACCTTCAAACGGGTCCAGGTCCACCAGAAAATGGCTAGACAAAAAAGCTGGAAATATTTCCAGTTGTGGACCTTGAGGACAAGGATCCACTTGATGGGGGGAGAATTGATAGGCCACGACGTTGGGATGAGCTGGGACATGAAGAACGTGGCTTGCATGCTCTGTTTTACGTGGGGTAGTTCAGTTATTAGCTTGCTTGCATGCTCTGTTTTACGAGGGGTGTAGTTCAGTTATTAGTAGTTCAGTTATTAGCTTGTAGTTTCCTTTTTATTTCAGTTTTAGTGTAAGTGGCTTTGCTTATTTAAGCAGCCGAAACTTATCAGTGAAAGAAAAGTAATTATTTCTATGCAAATTGTGGTACACTTCTCTCCCGAAGAGAAGACAAAGTATCTGATGATTTTATTCTCTGCATTTGGGACCTATCATGTTACCTTATAAAATTGCAGTTACCATTTACATTTCATGGTTTGAATAACATTTTTCTTATGATTTTCTGCAAACAGCCCTGGGTTTTCGGGTTGAGCTTATTGGGACTTACTCCTTTAGCCGAACGTGTTAGCTTTCTGACCGAGTAAGTCAATTATTTTCTTGTTAACTGTTAATTTCTGATTATCTTATTATGTAATTAGAATGGGGACTGATTCATTTTTCACCACCTCTGTGCAAGAATTAGAGAATTAAAGATCTTTAAATTAACCAACTTTGATTGAAAATCATAAACCCAGAACCTGGTCAGAAACACAAGGGATTATGAATTCAATCTCGAGATGACGATTACTTCTGGATAAGAACGAAGAAGCCGTACTCCTGGAAGAACAAGCCATGAAGATCGAATCCGAAGAGACAGAGAGAGGAAAACTTTAAGATGGCCGAGTTATAAACGAAAACAAAGGATTTTATATAGTGATTTCTGTCAGGCAGTTAGAGAGATGGACGGTTATGAGTTAACGATTATTTCGTAGATCGACGCCTAATATACATCTACGTGGTTGACTTGGTATCTTGTTTTGTAATTAGGCGGTGGTATTAAGATAAGGGTTAAATTAATTATTTGCTGGGTTTTTGTTTGCTTTGGTCATACGCCTTTGAGTACTTTTGAGTTTTGACTTTTTCCCTTAGCCATTCAGGCTTGTGTAGCGGAGCCCATTAAATATTTGGGCTTAAAAAGTTAACTAATAGGCCCAGTCCACTGGCCCGTTGATTCCTTACTCCAACAATAGCCCGGGCCCAATCGTAGTCTGCTATAGCCATCGTAGCCCGTTTAGAAAATGGCATCACCTACACGGGCTGAATCGGCCTACCAACGCAAAAAAATAGCCCGTGTAATTGGTTCTTTTAATGGTATTTTTTATCATTGATGATGTCTTTAGTTTGCATTGGTGACTGAGACGTTGGACATATCTTTTCCTTTTTTTTTCAAACAAAATAATTCTTTGGAATTTGGATAGCTTTTGATGTTAAACTTTTCTGTATCATTGAATCGTTGGCAATCTCTTTCCTTCATCTCCAAAAGGGAAACTCCAATTCTCCTATCGGTTTGTAATGGTGGAGCTATTCTTCTTCATCTTCATGCATCTTCTACAAATAGCGAAGTAAGTAATTTCCTCGGGTAAGTTAAATTTCCTTTCACTTAATTTTTCAGCACCGGTTGTAGATATCTGTAAAATCCCCTTAGGTAATCTGAGGAGAGGGGGCAAAGGTTATTTGGATACATATCCTTCCCTTTCCCATTATGACTTTTCCTTTACATGATGGCATAGCTATTATTCTGTAACTGCAATTGCATGAAGGGCGTTCGAGTTCCAGGTCGAGGAGCTAAATAAAGTAAAGGATTGATGGCGAAGATTTGCAGAAGAGAAATTGAAGACATCTAGCTAGTCAAAGATGAAAGATGATGTGGAAGGCAGGAGTAAGGTATCATCTATTTTTAAGTTGAAATCTGATTAATTGTGATAAGTCTTAAATCTTGATATATTATGTAAAGTAAATAAATAACAAAACAAATCACAAGTAATGTTACAATTAATTACATGCCAAACATGTACATCAATAAGACTAAATAATGTTACAAAAACTAAACAGTATAATGTCAAATTAACAAATGCAACCTAACTCTATGAACTTGAACTGCAGAACTTGACTCTGGCATATTTGATAAACAGGAAACACAAACATCACCTAAATATTATAACCGCCTTCAAACTTCTAGTCTGCACAAATCTCTTCCAAACATTTAGTGACCAACAGGAAAAAGGCGAAGATGACGGGGAAGAACTTTGCGTAGATAGGTTTATCTTTAACTTTATCTTCAGCAAAACGAGTAACTGTCTCCATAATAAACTCAAGGCTGCTGCAAACCAATCCAATTATGTCTGCCGAAGTACCAAAAGGCATATCATTCCCATCATAAAACCAATAAATCTTGCCCTTTTTCCTCCATGTTACTTGTTCCTTTTTAGCCCGCAAAACAAGTTCAATGATGCCAAAAACCAATGTGAACGAAGATGCCACCACACCCACTAGATCATAAGTGGTGTTATTCTCAGGGGAGATCAAATCCAGTACAAGCACGAAAAGCACCAACAAAAAGTTGAAGATATAAAAGCTCCATTTTAACCAAAACTACAAGGAAAAAACAAGGAAATTATTAAGTTAATAATGAATATCCTTATAATTAAGACAATGAAACTTATATCTTTATAACTTACCAGGAGTTTAGAAGGGCTATATTTTCCATGGTTTGCCGCAGGAGTGCCACTGCCTTTTTCACCTAATTCAACATCCCCATCCTCTCCGGATGTTTTCTCAACACCATTTCCACGTACTTCAACATCCCCATCCTCTCGGGATGTTTTCTCAACACCATTTCCACCTAATTCAACATCCCCATCCTCTCGGGATGTTTCCTCAACACCATTTCCACCTAATTCAACATCCCCACAGTCTCGGGATGTTTTCTCAACATTCTTTGTCCCATCAAAAACCTACAACATGTGATAAACATACACTCCAGCACAATAATTTTCCAAACAATATATTATACATATAAGTTGTCTTTGACTAATAAATAATTATAAATCAATAATCAATCACACAAAATGTAAGAGAAGTTAGCCTCGAGATAAGCACAGCAAATGAAATATATTTAAATAAATAATCAAATCAAAGTTGAGAGTAATCCTTACTTCAAGTTCACAAAGAAAATTCCTACACAACGCTCAAAAAAAAATCAGTAGCCTTTGATTTATAAACAATCATAATCAAACTAAATGCTAAAGAAATCAGAATCAACCATACAAAATATAAGGGAATTTAACCTAAAGATAAACATAGCAGATGAAATATATTTTAATGAACGAATTAAGTTCAAGAGTAACTTACTTCAAAAGTTTACAAAGGATAAGCTTGAGAGATACGGTAATTCGCAAAACTCTCTTTGTTGTTTTTGCAAATCGGCCCAAGAAACCTTGGATCATCTCTTTTTCTCTTGCCCTTTCTCCAAGTCTATTTGGAGCCGCATCCTTGCCATTAGCTCTATGGGCTATAGGGCGGTGCCATGGAATGGTTATATTCATGGCTAATCCTTAAATTGGAAGAGAGATAAGCTCACACATTTTTTAGTGAAGTTGTGTTTTAATGCCACTATCTATTGGATTTGGAGGGAGAGAAACAATAGGCTGTTTGGAGGGGAGTGTAAAGATGCACTAACCATCCACAATGTAGGGAGGTTTTCATGCTTTGGGGAGATGGTTTTTTCTGCCATTTTTAGTCTTTGCCATTTTCGATTCAAGGAAAGGTGGTTGGTTTGGTTTTTGTCGCCTATTTGGGCATTTTCTTCTAGCTTTTTTTTTGTTTTGTTCCTAACCCGAGGCCTGTCCTGAGGTAGGAACAAATTTTGTGTATATACATAGTCTTGTATAGGCTATTTTGTTGGGTCTTAAACCAGGGGATTGTCCTGAGTAGGCTGGCCGCCTTTTATAGGCTTTTTGTACATTCTTTCTCTTTTCTCATGAAAGCTTATTTACCTAAAAAAAAAAAAAAACAGTTTACAAGAAATAATTATAATAAAACTGATTAAATGCTAGAGAATCAACAAAAAATAAGAGAAGTGAACCTAATAATCACAAACATAGCAAATGAAAGAATCGAATCAAACATTGTTTTTTGACAAACAAACTGTACTGCTAATTAATTTTGAAATTTTAACAAGGATTGAATCGAGATTACCTCAGCAATGAATGTAAATTCCTTGAATCTCTTCCAGCGACCATTGCCTATGGAATCAGTGGTGCTTTCTCCACCGAGATGCGGCTTGTCGTTCATCGTTGAGATTGGAAGCAGATGCTTGAGTGCTGGCATCTGTATGAACAAAGCTACCGTAAGTAAAGAGTTAATAAATACAAATTTAACACTATTAATAAGTCCTGATTCAATGACTAAACTGAATCTTAACTAATTAATATAACTCAGATCTAGTTCGATCCTTACCTTAATCCTAGCTTTCCTTCTTCGCTTCCAATCTGCCTGTAAGACCCTGAAACAGTAGGGCAAATCTATTCTTATAACCAACATAAAGCAATGAAATTCTCTTCTCTAGCTGCTCTGAAAATATAATGCTTCTTGAGTTCCATACGATTATTGAAATCGAAGATCTTAGCTTTTGTTAGCAAAATCGCAAATCAACAAAAGCTTCTGTTATAGCCAGACTGAAAAGTCTTTAAGTGGTATGAAAATCTACATAAAAATATACAGTAAGCAACAATCATATCTTAATACGAAGAAATTTGCCCAGTCGAAAGGGTTGGTTTAGAATAGATATTGACTGCCGCACTGCCGCAAAGAATCGAAACGGCATTTCTGGATTGTTTATTTTTTTTTTTTTAAAACAATCTCATAGAACCATTGAAGGAGTCAACACCATTGATAGGAGAAGATGATTTAAAAAGAAAAGACAAAAAAAAAAAAAAAAAAAACACACTACTGACCTGTCAGTCCTTATCTTGGTGAGATTGTAAAGAAGAGAAGAAAACTGACAAAGATTATAGCAAGAGTCCAGAGAGCCTTGTGTAAAATTTATAGAAATTTTTTAGCGTAAATGTTAAGCTAGGGTTTTTGCTACCCGCTTAAGGTCACGTGACCGTCTGTCTTAAAATTTATATAAAACTTTTTAGAAATTTTTTAATTAATAATATTGGTTCATTTTTTTTTTAAATTAAAAAAGATTGATACAAGTAAAATAGTGAAAGTATGTTAACCTAAATTTTATGCCAACTTATATTGCATATCCAATAAATCAAAATCTCTCTAAAAGATGTGATGGAGGTGATTATTTTTTTTTTAATTATGAAATAGTATTTGGATCATTTTACGCACACCTTAACTAGTCCTTCGATCCTTAACAAGAGTTCTGAAACAGGATAAGTTTTTTGATCCGTGAGTCGTGACCATATATTAACAATTGTTCTTCTGATTCGAACCTAACCTATTAACCTAAGCCTTATCACTTGGCTAATCCATCGTTAATTGGTCGGTGGATTAGATGCGTGGAATTATTAGCTTTTTAATTAGGCAAATTTAAGCTTAACCTAAATTTGTATACCAACTTATAGTGCGTCCGTATCCAATGAATCAAATTTTCTTAAAAGATATTAAGAAAAAAAAAAAACGTAATAAAGTGATGGTCGGTGGATTGGATGCTGCATAATCGCCACGTGGCATTACTAAACTATTATTAAATTATTAAATTATGTATTTCTTTTTTATAATTTACTGGGATGATACTGTAAATGAAAAATCTATCAAGACTTGGCTATCATCTACCAAACATTAATGCTACGTGGCATTATTGCAGTGGACAGCTTCATTAACCGACTTCAAAATTCTAGCCTAACACCTCATGTGCACTACAGCATCTCAACTTGTAAGAATATTCCCAGTAAATACTAGGGCTGCGTTTGGTTCAAAATTTGAAGGTTTTGGGAAATTTTTTTTGAAAAAGTTAAAAAAGTTAAATTGGACGAGTATTACAGGTAAATTTTATAAATTAATAAAATACCCTTTATGTTTGTTTTTTTCAAAATCCCCCTATAATAAACATTAAAAGTTACAAAAATACCCCTAACCCACCCTCAACACCCCCAGCTGGCGACCACCACCGAGGGTGGCCGGAGTGGCCGTATGGGCGCATGACCGTGTTGATCTTGCCGGTCATGCGTCGCTATGGCCTTTTCCAGAAAAGGCCAGATCTACGGTCAGATCTGGCCGTCAACGGCCAATCTGCCGTATTTGCTCTCAACGACGGCCAAAAAACGGTCGTCGTTGATGGTCAACGATGACCGTTTTGTGGCCGTCGTGACCGAGTGTTACGGCCAATCTGGCCGTCAACGGCCAGATCTTTGGCCTTAGATCTGGCCTTTTCCGGCCAGATCCACCGTGGATCTGGCCGAAAAGGCTAGATCGGCGCACTGCCGGCCAGATTCAGCCGTAGTGCGCCATTCTACCAGATCTGGCCATTTTCCGTTGGTGGTGGTCGAATCTGGTAAATGTGGATTATTGGGTGTTTTTTGTAATTTAAAAAAAAATATTTAGGGGTATTTAATTAAATTATTAAATTTAAGGGGTTTAAAAAAAGTTGAATAATATGGGAGTAGTATTCCCAAAATCTGGCTCCGTTTGGTTCACAATTGAGTGTTTTTGGGAAAAGTTTTTTGAAAAAAGTAAAAAAAAAGTTGAATTGGCGGGTATTACGATGTAGGATTTATAAATTATAAAATACCCCTATATTTGTTTCTTTACAAACACCCCCTATAATAAATCTTAAAAGTAACAAAAACACCCCCAACCCAATGTCAAATACGGACAGCCGGCCACTACCCCGCCGAGGGTGGCCGGAGTTGCTGTAACAAACCATTAAAATATTTAGGGGATTATTTTAATTAACAAATTTAGGGGGTTTAAAAAATGTTGAATAAAGTTGAATAATATTGTGAGTTTTTGGGTATTTTAGTTTTAACTTTTTGGGAATACTAAAAGTAGTATTCACAATTGGCAACCAAACGGAGCCCTGATTTTTTGGGTATTTTACTTTTTAACTTTTTGGGAATACTAAAGTGTGAAACAAACGCAGCCTAGGACAACCCACGGAGAACCTAACCTACATCCGTTAGCATCTGAACCAGAAAAAATACTCCATTGAGAATCAAACACGTCATTACTTCAAAAGATATATGCCACGTAGATCATGGTCTCACATAAACCCGCTGTGCTACAAATACAATACAAGCTAACCACTGAAAATTTTTAAAGTCGGTTGGTTAAAGTAGTATGGCCTAGCCTGACTAATGGCGGAATTATTAAACTATTATAAGTGTTTGCTCATTTAGGGTTAGATTATATTTCCTGGATTTTTTTGATTGCTTTAGACCATTTCCAACCCATTCACACCATGTAAATTGTACTAAATTGGTACAAATTTGGATGTAAATACTATTTCATCTCTAATCTACAACATCAAATATTGCACCAAAAAAAAAAAATTATTTAGAATATTCTTTTTTTTCTTTTATTGTAATAATCAACAATTAATCCATTTCATTCGTTATTTTTGTATATATTAATTAAATATTGGAATGATATTTTTATTAAATAATAATTATTTTAAAAATTATACTATTTAATAAAATTAAGCATTTATTTAATCAATAAACATTACATTTAATATAGAAAACATTACATCTATATAAATGATACAAAAAAAAAAAAAAACAATCAACAACAACAACACCAAGTAAAATTTCATATTGATAGTAATTTAATTTTCCGAATTAATTTTTTATTTGGAGTTATTGTAGTTTAACATTTGTATTAAATAAAGTTCTATTTTATTTTTCATCAATTTTTTAATTATATCATTATTATGAATTTATTATTATAATATAATCAATTAAATTACATACAAATAATCAAATTTGTTGTGATTTTTAACGTAAATTTTAATTTCAATTAACTTACAAAAAAAAAAAAATGATTGACGCTACATTGCTACACCAATTTGGTGCAGCACTGTAATGCCATACCAAAATGGCGTGGCGTTTGGCGTGGGTTGGAGATGTCCTTAGTCTTATGCCTTTGAGTACTTTTGACTTTTTCTCAATGGTAATTTAAGATATATCATCAAATTATCAAAAGCTATGTCTAAGTAGGATAAATAACATTAATATTAAAATAATTAAAATTATATTTTATTACGTTAAAAATTAGCCATTGAGGCTTGTGTAGCAGAGCCCATTAGAATTTGGGCTAAAAGTAACTAATAGGCCCAGTCCGCTGGCCCTTGACTAGTTACTCCAACAATAGCCCGGCCAATCATGTCTGCTAGAGTCACGTAGCCCGTTTTAGAAAATGGCCTCACCTACATGGGCTAAATGGGCTTAACAACACAAAAAGGCCCCTTCCGGCCCGTCCTAGCCGCTTGCGCTCGCATTTGATGCCTCTTCTAATGGTTAGGTTAGTAAAGGGCGGGTTTACAGTAAATAAAATGGACATAGCTCTGTTCTCACCATCCTCGCTCTTTGCTGAAGACGATGACTCATCTGCTGGTACTCTTTTTCTTTATTAACTTTACTATAATTCTCATTACTCTGCTGTCTGCTCATAACCTGTAACAAAGAGAAAATTAATGATCACTGTTACTTTCAATTTGCAGATGAGGAAACCACAGAGACTTGTCAGAACTTTGTGGAGAGGACCCACCAGTTCCCTGAAATGGTAATGCTTCAGACTTTTCTTTGATTATATGATTTTTGCACTTCATCATAGTTGATATATTAATTTCAATGAATGCTTGGCTTTAGTTTGATTGTCTTTTAGTTTGTTGATTTATAAACAATCTTGTTCTAGGTTATGAATGCTTGTTTGAATTCTAAGGGTGCAGTGTAGTCTCATGTTTCTCAGCTTTTAATTGTTTTGGGTTTTGTACAGGAGTTACTTATTCGGGAGTTTTCTTTTCACGAACTGAATGCTAATTTACTCTGGCCAGGAACATTTGCATTTGCGGAATGGTTAGTTCAACACAGGTCATGGATAGAAGGACGCCGCTGCATTGAATTGGGCAGGTATACTTCCGGCTTTAGTTGAATGTTATAGTAGATTAATTTGTGAGCACAATTAGTGTTTTGTTTTAATGTCTCAGGAAATGCCCTAGTTTTCCTGAGATTGCTCCTTTGGGATTTAAGCTTACGGAAATGGTTTTTGGTGGAGACATTCTGTGCATTTTACAATGGGAATTGATTTTATTTAAGCTTAATTCTTCTATCGATTGTTTTTTCTTGCTTCCAGTTGAACACCTTATATTGTGATCATCGTTAATATATTGGCGATCTACTCTATAGTTTGTGCACACCGCTGGTATTTATTCTTTTAATCAATCGCAGTGGCACTGGAGCTTTGGCTATTTTTCTCAGAAAAGCATTGCATCTTGACATCGCCACGTCTGACTATGATGATCAGGAAATTGAAGAGAACATTGCTCATAACTGCAAGGCAAATGGAATTACACCTGTCCTTCCTCATATAAAGCGTGAGTTTCTTTTCTCCTATGTGGTAATGGCTTCCTATTTACTGCATATGGTTTGGGAATTGGAAGTGGAGAATGCCGTTTCTATGCCTTTATCTTACTAGATACAAGTAGTGATTTATTTTCAACTCTTGTTTTGGGCTTGCAATGATGAATGAAAAGATTGTTAATTGTATTTCCATTTGTTATCATTTATTGACTTTTGGTTTAATATATTGATCTAGAACATGCTGTGTTTTTTCCAGATTCGTGGGGAGAGGCTTTTCCAATTGTGACCCCAGATTGGGACCTTGTTATAGCAAGTGATATTTTATTGTGTAAGTATTTACTTTTTCTGCTTCTGCATAACTATCATGTGTACTCTGGACAAAGCTTAACTGATTTTCTTATCAATATAGTAGTGTCCCATCAGATTCAAACTATTCTTTTGAATTCCTCAGTTTCATTGTTTAATTTCTCTCCTGAAAATGCATCAACGTGTTTCTTTTTTATGGTTGCTTGTAGATGTAAAATATCCACCTTGATAAAATCTCTTTCCTTTCTCCTCAAATCTTACAAGCCAAAAAATAACAAAGCATACCTTCTCACGAGAATGAGCTGAATGATGGTAATGTGCTAACATTTATTTTTTCTGATTTTATTCCCGAGAATTAGAAACTGATTGATCATTGCACTACTTCTTCCTAACCTCTTTCTTGCTGTAAAATTGCCAGGGCTGCCCTATCCTGCATTTTTGATGAGCTGGAGACGCAGAATTGGGAAGGAGGATGAGTCACTTTTCTTGTGGTTGCGAAAATGCTGGTCTTGGTGAAGCATTTGGGATCCCGTGTGTATTGCATAAACCTATAGACAACTGTGACATGAGCTGATAAAGACGACAGTTGAACCAGCTTTTCGATTGCGAAAGATAGCTGCTATGATCTATGACTCGCTGACTGAATCAACATTTCGATTTTGAGAACTAACAATGGCACTCCTTTTTCGGCTTCTGAAACTTCCTGTTGTGTGTTGACTGGAATTCATAATCATTTAGAAAAAGGGGTTTTCAAAGATTAGATGAAAGTCTAGAACTACCTTTAATTCTTCCCCTGTGAAGTTTGTCCTGAAATTTGTATCTTCATAATATAGCCGTGAGGGTGTATGCAAAATGGGTTTAAACTTTAAAGACTGTAAAATTGAATTTTCAACATTTTATATCCAGGCAATCCTGAATGACTTTTATTTTCCCTCTCGATGGATGAATATTACTTGGCCTATATTTTTGGCAGTAGTCATATTACTGACAGATAAACAATGGGCAATAACTTATTGTCATATTTTCATCACAGGTCATAAGTTCATTGTTTATCATTTATGTATCAGAGAACAGTTTAAATGCACATGATTCGTATGATGATCATAAGATATTCATTCTAAATTAATGGACAATCTTATTTACAAAGATGCACGAGTAATATATATATATATATATAATATATGTGGCCCTTTCAAGTAATTCAAATTTTAGGAATTAACTTTCAGGTGTTTGGGACCATGGTTGTCAAATCGTATATCGTGTATTGAAAAGTTAGGGTGCGTTTGGTTTATTATTTGGATAAGAGTTTGAGAATAATATTGGATATGTTGAATAGGGAGTATTACGAAGTAAAATTTAAAAATTTAAATAAAAAACCCCTAGGTTTGCTAATTTAATTAAACACCCCAACATATAAAATGACAAAAAACACCCCACCACCCGTAGTGCCGATTCCGCCACCACCGTCAGAATATGGCTGGCAAATTGCGTTACGACACAGATCGATCGGATTTGTGTCATAACGCCTCACTATGGCCTTTTTCGGCCAGTCCACCACGGATCTGGTCTGAAAAGGCCATCCACGACCAGAAGTGGCCGAAAAGCCAAAGAAGTCCATCTTTGGCCTCGTTTTCGGTCAACGATGGCTCAGATTTGACTGTCTTTGGTTTCGTTTGCGGTCAACGACAGCCAGATCGATGAACTACCGCTCATTTATGGTCGTGGTGTAGGCCATCGTATAGATTCCGGCTACCACCAACGTGGTTGCCGGAATTGGCAATTCTGCGTTGATGGGGGTGTTTTTGTTAATTTTTAAGCTTTTTTGGGGTATTTAGTGAAATTAATAAACTTAAGGGGTCTAAAATGATTAAAAAAATATAGTAATATTATGGAATATTGTGCTAAACAATATTTGAGAATAGAGATTGAGAATATGGATAGAAATAATGAGCCAAATGCACCTTTAATTTTTCGAATCCTGTATCATATTGTATTGTAGGATACGACTTTTAAAAATAATAATAATAATATATATAATAATAATAATAATAATAATAAATTAATGTCATCCCAAGATTAATTAACGATTTTGTGATATTATGGCTTTAAATATGGTCTTACATAATTAAATTATCACAAAATTAAGAATCTATACAATTTCCAAAATCAATGCCAATATCTATTCTCCACTTGTGTTATTATTATCATGCAAAATGGCCAACACATCTTCCTCTTCACTTTCTCCTTGCAAAATAGTAAATTTGGGTGGGTTTTAGTGAATCGGGTTGGGTGACCCGAATTCGAACTAATCTATTTTAACCTGACTTGAATTTTTTTTTTTTTGGGCCTTCGCCTAAATTATAAAGTCTTATCAATTTGTATTGATATTTTTAAAGATAAGAATGGATAGGATACATATCACCTATGAAGGTTTGAGTACACTCTCTAATACGTATCGTTAGCGACCCGTATCGAATTGTATCGTAAGATACGTATCGCATATCGTGGACTAATCACCATGTTTGAGACATCTTCACATACCTCAACTAATTCTTATAGATTACTACCATGATCACTACTTAAATCTTGGGAGCAAAGAGATTTAAACTTGAGACCGTACACCTTAGTCCACCTCCCAACCGGTGACTACCAAGGCAAGTTACTGCAATTTGGTTATTGCAAATTTTATAACACCCTTTAACTTTTAGTGTACATGATAGATATTGTAGAAACTTTCGTAAGTACCCTTCAATATTTTGAAGTTCAACCAACAACTTGTGGAATATGTGGTCCTAAATTTGGACCACTCACGGTTAACTGAGATCGACCAATAATGATATGCAAACTGATTCTGAAAATCCAAAACGCACACATATATGGTACTCCACAAACAGTAGCACATAATCGAACAAACAAGTATGGCTCTACATGCTATTTTTCTCATCCCAGGAAAATTCCTCAAATTTCACATACCCTTAGCTTCTTCATAGCTATGCCAACCCAGTTGATGTACATTTTCATTTCCACCGCAAGAATCTCAAAGATATATTGCTTAAAAAATCAGGCTGATGTCAGCTTAACAAGTACCGAAAAGACAAAGTGTACTAACTGTCAAGCCTATACCCCTTAAAGATATTTTATATTACTTTATCTCATTTTAAGATAAGGACGAATGAAAGCTCTTCGTATGTCAAGACAATTTGCAAAACACTTATTACATTGACCTTAAAGGTGTATAATTGACACCTCCCTTCATAAAGAGAAGGCTGGGCATATGAGAGTTAGACACATGAGAGCTTATTTTTCCCTTGTAAACAAAGTATTTCTCTATCTTTGTACCACCTTACAGGCAATATCATGGAAATAGTCAGAGAAATATAAAATAACAGTGGATATAGCGCTTTAAGCATCCGAACCACTATAAAAATCATTTTTGTCTATATATTATTTATGTTTCTCTAAACATATATAATCTCAGCACCATATTCAAATCTCATGAATCAATCACATATAATTTCTAAGACTATCTTAACATTTTATATGTGTAAGTCGTTAGTGTCAAAATCAAGCATCAATAAGATCTTTTCAAATGGAAGTGTCAACAACAAGATAAATTAATCTAGCTTAACATACATCCAATGTCACAGTCTATATGATCCGAGGATTTATAGTTTAAGAGAAGTTTTTAATATGATACAAATTACGTATGTATTTGTTTAATCATGTGATGTATGCAAAGTCCGAAGTATTGATTTGTCTAAAATTTGGAAAATGAAAGGGCGGGAAATTTCCCGAGCCTTTCTTCTACGGTTGCCTCTAACTTCACAAATACGTAAATGTACAAACTCTTTCATATAAATGGAAGTGACTCAAAGTGAATCGATGAATTTCTACATACATATCCGAACTACTAATTTTTAAGAATTTATTTTGTGATAGAGATGAGGATTTAGAAGCTATCACACAAAATCTTGAAATGAAATTGTCTTGTCGTAAATTGAGGAGATGAGATGATAATCAGAATGAAACGGATGGGATGTATTGTAGTTTTGCAAAGGCGAAATTTCGTGGAAGGTGTCGAGGGCTTAGAATACACATGGAGATGTACGTAGGTGGTCCGTGGCTGCTCTACCTGAACCAATTTTTGGACTGGACTGGAGTGAAGCCATTATAGGACCCTTGAAGATTGGCTAATATTGATGAAGACAACACCTCATACTACTGTTTCTGTTTTTGCCTTAAATTTAAGCCATTAGTTTGATGTTCATTAGACAATCTGGACCGACTACATTAATAATGTTGTACTTGTATTTGTCTACCAAATTTATTTTATCTCTTATTAATAAAATGTCTCACAGCAAATCATGATAAATTTTCTTTTATTTTTGGTTGGATATAGAAAACCAAAATATATTATTTATTTAATTTTAATATGAGTGTTTGGATGAAAAGAAAGTGAGAGAATATAAAAGAAAATGTTACTAAGAAGTAAATACTCAATTAACAAATAAACTCAATAGTCAGAAAAATTGGAGTAAACAATCTTAAACCATACTCCTCATGTTATAAAATGTGGACGTTTGTTTGTCGACAGAAACAAATAGTAAAAAAAACTACTACTATTATTGGGTAGCTCAAGTGATAGGGCGAGCATTAGAACTTGCGATATGTGCTTAAAACACACAGTCTCATGTTCGAATCCTCTTGTGGGATGTTGTGTTAACACCCTTTTTCAAGAGAAAAATAGAATAGAAAATGTTAGATCGCATTTTAAAATTATGAAAATTATAAATGAAAGAGAAGAGAAGACTCTATATATTTGATTATAGAAGTTTAATAATGAAAACTATGCTGTAATTGTGTTATATCCTATATACTTAAAACTAAACAAACATATTGAAGAACAATTACCTGAATCTGTATAGTCTTTTGTGATTAACGTTTCTACCAGACAAAACTGCATCTTTTTGTAGCAGACCTCGGATTCCCATGAAAGTGAAACAGATAAACTCTTTGTATCAGATATTTCATCAAAAAATTTGACTGCTGCTTTGGTTTGGCAAAACTATATATATACTGCAGTTACATTGGCTTTTCTGGCCGCTAAAAGTTTAGAAATGTAAATGCGAAACTTCTCTTCACCTTCCCCATTTGACACTTTGCGAACTAAAATGCCAAACGCAGCTGTTGTATCTTGTTTTAACAATTTCATGCAAACCCTAGCTACGTCCAAAACCAAAATCCAACTCTTTTCTCAAGTGTCTAACTGGGAGTCTTACACGTATAGTTTGTGCACAGTGTACTTATCTTTGAAGAATCTATGCCTCTGTGTGTGGCTCTGTCACAATAACAGAAATGGCTGGCTGGCTGGCTAGCTATACACAGTTAATCAATGAAATATTGTTGGCTGGAGACTCAGCTTTTGGGTCGATTTGTAATTTTGTTAATGTTAAGTGAGAAATTGTGACTGATGATTAATTAGGAGTATAAGTGGAGGAATAAAAGAGAAAAGTTGA